CATACACACAGGATTTAAACAGATGTGTGTGTTTATAACCTTAAAGATGCACATATGTAACACATTCCACAGTGTATTTATTTGCACAGTTGATTTGACTGAAAGACCCTGTATTTACATCTTTTAATTGTGTTATGTGAGACAGTGCTACACGCGTTGTTTATGTATCTGACATTTATGATTGAAAACCAAGTGGCTCGTGGAAGTTAGTTCTCCATAGGTTTTGGAAGTATTCCAGACCAAAAAATTAATTGCTGCCAAGAAAGGCATGGGTGGGGGTGGGGTACGGAATGTCAGTTGATTTCCCAATACTTAATTTGGGACGATCAAAAGTAAAAATCAAAAAATAAAGCGCCCCGCTCGATACAAAGCACAAAACTTAAGGCTAACTTCTCCCATTCAGGGAAAGAAAGAAGCTTTCTGTTGCTGTTCATGTGTGATATTTGAAAGGGGCTGCAGCACAGTGTAAGGATGGGGAGGTGGGCAGACCTCTCCGGAGCCCACATCCAACACTTCTCAACGAGGATTCCAGAAGGCCCAGCCTGTAAATGCCTATATTGTCTTCCTTCCCCGCAGCCACGGCCAGCTGAACATTCTGCTTGGTCTGTCCACAAAAGTTTTCTTCCTGCATCCAGGAGTTCAGGTTTTAAAACGCACTCTTGTTGGGAAAAATTCTAAAATCAGAAAGGATGTGGTCTGAAGTGTTGAAGTGTTTGGCCACGTATGGAATACACTACTCAGAGAAATGAAGTGGCACATTTATCAAGTCTCAGTGTGAGCTTTTCAAGCTGGGGATCCAGTATAGATTTGTTCGAGCTGCCCTGGCCAGAGCTTACTGAATGTCTTCCTCCGCTGGACGTGTGTGCCTTTTGTATCGCCCTCCTGAAGTACGTAGGTGCTGCTACCCTTTGGCACAGATTATTAATGCCACTGACAATTCTGCTATTTCCCCCTTCTCTCTGTCAATAACTCAGGCTTATGAATCCAATAAATATCTGCCTAGACTTCAATTATGCATGAGTGGATTCTCTCACTCTTCCCTCTTAGTTTTCTGCAGCACTGGGGACAAGTTATCATACACCACGTGAGATGGGCTTGCGCACAGAGTAGTGCCTCTAGGGGAGTGCTGGGAGCATCGCTTAGGTCATACCAAGTCCTGCTAGAAATACACACCGTGCTGCTAATCTTCAAATATGGAAAGGAGAGGATCTCTCAGAAACTACCTTCGCTCTCTATTTTAAATTCCAACGGGTATGGAGACAAACAAGGGTAAGGAATTTTCGGTTCCGCTCCGCTGAGCTGCACAAAGTGACTGGTTAGCTTGATGGGCAGAGGGAAGGGAGAATTAGCAGTACTTTGTCTCCACCCCTAACTCGATCTTTGAGCATATTTGTTCCAGTAAAATCAGGTTAAAATAAATGAAAGGCAGCTTAAAGGAGGCTTAAGATAACGGAGAGAGTGTGCACATGAACTTCAAGCCTCCCCTACCTAGCACCTGCCAGCAGACCCGCCATTTGATCCTCAATCACAGCCCAGAACGTGCGCCTGGACCATGGACGAGGCTCCACTGGGGAGCACTGGCTGTGTGCTCCCAACATCTAAAAAAGCCAGTAGCCGAGCTCTGATTTCTGTTGTGAAGTCCAAATACAGAAGGAACCCCAAAAATGGAGAGGGAGAAGGGGCATCCAGAAGGTTGTATCAAATGAGCGAATTTCAGTAATTGTGGAAAGATAGAGCCAGAAGTGACAGAGCAGGGGGGCAGTGAAGGGGTAGGGATATATGTTGCAAGAGAAAAATGATATTTTTCTCACCCTCCTTTTCTTGTCCCTCCTTCTCTGTCTCTCCACCCCTCAAAGATGGGGTTTGCAAAGACATAGACTTGTCTCCATATAGCAGATAATGTGGAGAAACCCACATAGAGAAGAGGGGACACGGGGAAGGCCACTCCTACTTCCCCATCGCATATGAACACCACCACCACCGACTCCTCCTCTGGAAGTTTATTTTCCCTACACCTTTTAGGAAAAGGGGGATGTTTTCCCTAAAATAAAAGTTTTAAATCTGAGGGAAAGATAATTCTCCATATTTTTGGAGGGCTAAAGCTCGGCTCGTAAGCAGCATCTATGAAGAGCCCTTTATCCAGAATAGCTAAAAGGTGTGTGGAAGGACATGTCTAATGTCACTCTGGCTTTCTCAAGCTATCCTTGTCTCATGGTCAGCCTGCAGGTTACACATGGAGCACCCCCTCTCCTACTGCTTTGAATGCACTGCTGATCTTCGTTTGGGTCAAAACAATCAGGTCCTCTCTCTCTGCCATCCTGGGAGGAGAATCAATCAGAATTCTTGTCACACCTGTCCTACTTGAGACTTTCCACTTTAACCCCCATGCCTTTGCTGTCTCATTCAGATTACAAATCACTTCTTCCTTTTTCAACTTGAACTTCGGCATCTTTCGCTCCCTTTGCTGCCCCTCCCCCAATCTCCTCATGTAGCACCAGTCTGCTGTTACTCACATCGCCAGAGACAGCACCAGGAGATTCACCTGCAGAGTCTCTTGTCCTGTGGGTCTCTGAGTCCACGGGTGGGCACCCCAGGATCCTGGAGATGCACTGTGGGTGGAGGGGGGGAGGACACCACAGGCCCAATCGATCCTACCCTTGGAGTTCCACAATACGCTATCGTCCACACTAAAGGTCCTGAGACTTCTCACCATAAAGACGCCTGCTTCATGTCTATAAAGTGACACTGCACAAAATTATTTCAGAACCCCAACTTTTGAGTCAGGCCTTCTACCATTTTGCAGAAGTGCTGTTGTGAGGGGCATGTGTCAGGAGATGTCGCTGGTCCACATGGTGGGTCTATCCCATGGTGCTTGTATGCATGGGCATGGGCCTCGGGAAACGAGCTGCCTCTCCAACCCGCCCCCACCTTGTCTTCACCCCACAAGCGTACAGCAGTTCCTGGTAATGCCTGAGTTACAGATCTGGAGTGACCAGCCCTGGAAGCCCAACCCTAATGACTCACAGAACTTCAAGACATTCCTCTTGTCTGCCTTCAAGTGACAAAGACTGATGGCTATACTACAAAATAAATCCTTTCTCCCCTTGCTCTTTGACAAGAAGAACTTCTAATTTGGGGGCTGGACATGTCAGGATTCTGAGTAATCCTGGATAAGTGTGCAACTGCAGGGAGGGCTGTGGGCACCATCTAGAACTGTGTTTAATGGGAGGGGGCATGCCCTTCTTTCCCTCCTCCCCTTCTCTGCTTCTAGAAAGATGTGATGGCAGGGGCTTGAGCAACCACCTTGTGTCCCACGGTAGAAGCCACATGCTCAACAAGGTAGAAGGAGACCGGGTGCCTGACATCGTAGAACAAGATATCAGCTCCAGATTGACACATCTCTTCATCTTTTATATGAATAATAATAGAGTTTTTATTAGGCCACTGTTATGGTGAGGTTTCTGCCACCTCAGCAGAATCTAATCTTAATGCATTTGGCTCCTCTCTTCAGCTAAGCCCTCAGATCTCTCCAAGGTAAACTAAACGCCCAAATTATTTCCTCGAACAACCTCTCGGAAAGTCATCTCAACTGGGAACAAGTTAGCTTCAGGGCGACCCCACTGGAGTGTCTCTACTGATGACCTTCTGCCTCCTGTATCTGGACCCTCTCTCACCCAAGATCTTTCGCAAGGAGAGCAGGAGGTGGGAGTTGACTGGACAATCATCCACACCACCGTGATGAGCACCTTGGCTGTCCCCGCCTGGGTGGTCTAGTCCGAGTACCCATCTGTTTTCTCACTCTTGGCCCCGGATAACTGTTCCTTGCATTGCCAAACTTTCGGTGTTATATGTTCATTTGGTTGTATTCCCATTTACGATCATGTCTTCCCCACATGAAGCATCCAATGTGCTCGTTAGTACATACACACCATCTATTCTGACAGGCTCCGTGTCATGTGGTTCAGCTTCAACATCACACAGCATCTAAATTAACAGACACTCCAATACACGACTCTGACCCTGCCAGTCCATTTCATGTTTAAAGCCATAGTGCCAAGGCTAGTAATTCAAAGGAAGGCAAGGAGCGCCTGGGTGGCTCATTCAGTTAAGCGTTCCACTTCAGCTCAGGTCATGAGCTCGCGGTTGTCAAGTTCAAGCCCCCCATTGGGCTCTGTGCTGACAGCTCGGAGCCTGGAGCCTGCTTGGGATTCTGTGTTTCCCTCTCTCTCTGCCCCTCCCCTGCTCACGCCCTCTCTTTCTCTCTCTCAACAATAAACAAACATTAAAAAATATTTAACAAATAAACTAAATGGATAAAAACCCTAATGTTAGAATATCGAGCACTCGGACACGCGAAAAGAAGATTTTTGCACAAGAAAGTGGTGTTGTAACCACTATTTCTGGGCTGTGGAGTCAACTACTTTCTTAGGGTTTGTTGCCAATGAAAAGGTTTTCAGAAAAAAATAATGTATTTGTACAAAGGCTTAGAAAAACCAGAAGCACGGGGCGCCTGGGTGGCGCAGTCGGTTAAGCGCCCGACTTCAGCCAGGTCACAATCTCGCGGTCCGTGAGTTCGAGCCCCGCGTCGGGCTCTGGGCTGATGGCTCAGAGCCTGGAGCTTGTTTCCGATTCTGTGTCTCCCTCTCTCTCTGCCCCTCCCCCGTTCATGCTCTGTCTCTCTCTGTCCCAAAAATAAATAAATGTTGAAAAAAAAAAATTTAAAAAAAAAAAAAAAAGAAAAACCAGAAGCACACCCACATTCGCTTTTGACTGCATCTGCCTGAGGGGAGGAAAGAAGACAAGGAAGCGGGAAGGGAAGAGAGGCAATGAGATCCGATCCATAATCTTTTTTTTACATGGCAGGTAGCATGGAACCTGGTGGCTAAAAACAGGTATTTCTCTATGCCCGAGGGGGAGCAGAACAAGGAACATAGATATCAGTTTCATTGCCACTACCACTGTTATCCTAAATTTTGAAATATTTGAGCATACAAAAAGCATCATATTGGATGCTCTTTATTGGATGCATAGATCTATGTTTATAGAAAGTTTTAATGGTTGCAAAGACAAATTGCGAAAATGATACATTTTTTTTAGAGATCTTGATATATCATCCCGCATGCTAATAAAGTTTTCAATACTGGGCTGCAGTATAGATTATAATACTAATGTTTCCCCTGGGCTCCAGTGATTAGAACTCCTTTGGTAAATGTGTTAAAGTTAAGGTTAATGCACCAAAAAGCTGTAATTCACTGACGTTTAATACTGGCTCGTGCGACATGAAAACTTTGGTAGCAGATGCAGGCTGTCGAGAAACTTTTCTTCAACCTTTGGAGTCCAGACGGTTCACAGAATGTTTTCTCCCCATGCCCTCAGAGCCGTGTGGTTCCGACACCTTCCTCACGGATGCACAATGATTCTGGAAAGACAACAACAAAGTCGGGGAAATAATGGCATTATTGTTGAAGGGAGCCTTCAGGAGGTAATACTCTAACAAGAATTGAAACTTGAACTCTTTGAACTGAATTTTTCAGGAAAGCACTTCCAAACTCTTGAAAGGAAAACATCAAAGTTTTGAAGGGCAGATATGAAAAAGACTTCCCCTCTTACACCAAAGTGACGCAAATTCAACCTGACACACATTTATGGTGAGTTTTGTGCGCCAGTGGAGATGAAACGGAAAAAGGCACATGCTCGTCCTCAAGGAACGTATGACAGTGATCTTTCAGCTGGTTGAGACCTCGGTTTCTGAATTATTTTTCCCTTCTGTCCTCTGCCTACTCAGAAAGGGCTGGGTGGTATGTGATTTTTGAAGGTGCTCTCTTAAGGTGCAAAACCTCTTTCAGGATAGTAGGAAACAAACTGTAACTATTACGAGAAAACATTTTTTTCACAGGTCAGTTTGGTAAGACCAAGAAGCTTAAAAATAGAATGTGTTGATACGAGCGTGAGATAATGGAAACTCTCATACATTTCTGGTGCGAGTGGAGAGAGGGATGGCCTCTACAGAAAACAACTGGGTAATATTTACCTCAAGTTTAAGTGAACATACTGGTTGATCCAGCAATTCTGCTTCGAGAACGGTATCCCCCTTTACAAGTACTTTGCTCATCTGTGAAATGATGTATGCTAGATATAACTTATGGCACCACTGTGAAAACAGCAAGAGATTAAAAGCAACCCAAATATCTGTCAGTAGGGGATAGGTCAATAGGTGGGTAATAAAGTGGATGATAAAAAGCCGTAATGACTGAGGAAGCGCAGCATGAGCTCAGATGGAATCAGCAGCAGATATGTCCAGGAGGACCAAACAGGGCACGATGAGACCGTACGGTATGTGGTGCTGTGGCAGGTCTGGCACAGGTGTATCAGGACAACTGTCCTGCATCGCTGTCCCTTACCCTCCCCAGGAACCCAGTGGACTCAGCTGCCAACAGTCTTGTCACAGAGCTCATCCCTCTGAGAACCCCAGCTCTGTCTTGATACCGTGAAAACCCAGCCTGTCTCTGGGGGGTTGTGAAAATGAAAACGTTCCTGGCTGATGCCTCAGATCTACATGCGGTTCTGGGCCACCCTTTGGCCCACCAGAGAGCCCCCAACACCCTGGGAGCAGCTGCCATCGGTGCCCCTGGCACCTGCTCCGCTGTCCCAGCCAGCTTTAAGCTTACACAACCAAGTCAGGGCACAAGCAAACGTTGTAAGGGCTGGCGTGCGTTGTGGCAGGACTCGGGCTCTGCGATTCAGTGTCCGGCCGCATCTGCAAATCTAGCGGACCAGAGGGTTCGCGTGTTTGTTATCAGGAAGTAAACAGCCTGGAAGGAGGAAGGTCTGTGCTCTTAGCTCCAGCCAGAGACACCAAAGACCCCGAGGGGAAACCGTGGACCACCTCTCCCCATTTCTCCCTGACCACAAAGTGGCTCTAGTAGAGTGAGAGCTGAAGGAGGCCTGGTAGCTTCTGAAATCTTCAGAAACTCCAATGATCGGTGTCCAGGAATCAGCATTCTCCAGTGCCTTTGTAGGAAACAGGCACCAAAAGGGGCCCTGAGAGCTGTGTGTGAACCCATGGGAAACAGACCCATACATAAGATCAGGAGGCTTGGACAGGAGGGCACAGGTGCCCCTGCCATGTGTCCGGAAACAGTCAGGTTCAAGAGCAGGAGAAGCCTAAGGAATTTTGGATTACAAAAGCAAACAGACTGCCTGCCTCAACTTGTAGGAGTCAGGGATACAGAAAACTGGACCAAAAGTCATCTATCCTTCAAGAGGACGGCTCCTAAGATGTCACGTATGTCGAGCACGTTCTTCTTCATGCTTTCCTTCCAGTCCTGCCAAAGCAAGGCAGTCCAGTCCTGCCAAAGCTGTGGTTTGCAGGGACCGGTGAAATGCCAGTCCTCCCCTGTGTCAGTTGCTCCTAAAAACAACATTTTTCTTGTCCTGGCTACAGACACCTATCAGGATGTACCCAGAGCCTCTGTCTACTATGTCAACAGAGTAGAATGCTTGACAAGAGGACATAAAGCTGATTACCTAAAGCAGAAGCCAAAACCAGAAGGACAGTTGCAGCTTCCAGTGGTGAAGAAGTCCAAGGCTGTTTTTGGTTTTTTTTGTTTTGTTTGTTTGTTTGTTTTTTGCAACGGACATCCTAGATGTTTAAGAGAAAGTGAGAAGTTACCACTTCTCTATAGGCTCCAGACTGGTCTCTCTGTTCATCTTTTCTCTGCCCCAGCCAGTCCCATCTCTGCAGTAGGGTTACTTTTCCCCAAAGTCCACTTTGATTAATAAAATAAAGAGGTTCTCCAGGCATCACATAGGTTCCAAAACTCTCAGCTTGGCTTTTAGGATTGTCTGAGTTGAAGCAGTATTTCCGGGACTATCTCCAACTAAACTCAAGGCCAGCAGGTTGACTCATCAGTTCTCCAACTCTCACCTCATCTGTTCCATCTCTGTGCTTGTCACTTGGCACCTACCCCACACCCACCATCATTTACTGACATCTTGCTATCTTTCAAAATCCAACTCGATGCCACCTCCTCCAGGAAGCCATCCTAATTCTCCCAGCCTTAAGTGAGTGCTCTCTCGTTCTTCTGAACTTCTGCAGGCCCTTGTTCCTCATATGGCTTTGTACTACAGTTGCTTTCCAAATGGGCTATGTTCTCCTTAGGAGTTAGATCTTTTATGGATTTTCTGTACCAAGAATTTTCTGGTATCTCTCAGTACTTAGCATTACATTCTACATGTAATGTTGACTCCCAGCCTTTCGATTAGAAGAGGCCTGCTATGGACTGAATTGCATTCTCCCCCCCACCCCCCGCCACCCACCAAAATTCATTATGTTGCAACTCCTAACCCCCAGCGTGATGGTATCTGGAGGTGAGGCTTTGGGGGGAAAATTATGTTCACATGAGATGGTGAAGACGGGCCTCTCATGATTGTATGAGTGCCCTTACCAGAAAAGAGCCATTTTTTGTTTGTTTGTCTGTTATCCATTTGGCCAAGTTTTGTCTTTTGTTTGGAAAGTCTAATCCTTTTGCTTTTAAAGTAATTAGTATAAGGAAGAACTTCTGCCATATTGTTATTTGTTTTCTTTATGTTTTCTACCTTTTGCTGTCTCTCGTTTTCTCCATTACTGCTTTTTGGGGAATGAAGTTGATTTTCTACAGTGAAGCCGATTCCCTTCTCATTTCTTGTTGTGTGTATCTGTTAAATGCTTTCTTTAGAGTTACCATGGGGATTACATTTAGCGTCCTAAATTTGTAACAATCTGGTTTGAGCTGATACCAACTTAACTTCAGTAAGATACAAAGTCACCACGCCCCAACTCTTCCCCCCACTCTGCCCGGGGAAAGCTCTGTTCTCCCTTTCTGTTACTGATGTCCCAAATTAACTCTCTCTATATTGTGTGCCCTGTAACATGGATAGTTATTATTTTGCATGCCTTTGTCTCTTAACTCGTGTAAGAAATAAAAAGTGGGGTTACAAAACAAAACAAAAACAACACTCTTTTTTCAAACTGCTCTCTCTCTCTCTCTCTCTCTCTCTCTCTCTCTGCTGTGTGTGGACGCAGAGAAGCCAACCGTCTGGGAACCTGGAAGAGAACTCTGACCAGAACCCAGCCACGCTGGCACCCTGGTGTCAGACATCCAGCTTCCAGAACTATAAGAAAAGAAATTCCCATTGTTTAAGCCACACAGTGTATGGTATTTTGTTAGGGCAGCCTGGGCTGGCTGAGACAGGGCCTTAAGAGGTCCTCTGAGCCGGCCTTCTTATTTTACACAGTGATCCAAAGGGACACAGAGCAGAGCAGGGGTCAAAACCCAGCTGCCCCACCCCACCGAAAACCCCGCAGCCCACAGCTCTAGCAAGTATAACAAGGTTGTCAGATATCACAGAGTGAATGAAAAGGCCCAGAGCAATAAGTATATTTTTCTTAAACATGTCTATACCTTTAAACTCTTTTTATCATAGCTTTGAAATAACAAACCGAAGGCCCACGGGGACCTCCAGCAAGGTCTGAAATTGAGAATTGGGCTTAAGAAGCTGCCAGGGATGAGGAGAGGAAGGGGGAGGACTGCCTGTTTGGTTATAACAATATTATAATTACAGAGTTGTGAGTTATGCAAAGGAGAACACACGGCAGGCTTCACCACCACCTCGCGAGATTTCTTGTACCCGTGCACACACTAAAGCATTTCAGGGCTTGGCTTTCTGTTACTGCCACTACATTACGCTCATCGACGTTTTACAGCTCACAGAGGGCTTCCACATACATGGTCTCATGGAATCCACGCCACAGCCCACACAGGAACGAGCATCTCTGCGGAGACAATCACCTCCTAGAGCCGAAGTTTCCATAAGTGAGCTGAGTATGGTCACACAGCTGCTGAGGGTTGGACCTGAGACTGGAATGCTGTGTGTGTGTGTGTGTGTGTGTGTGTGTGTGTGTGACAGAGAGAGAGAGAGAGAGAGAGAGGGAGAGAGGAGTTGGGGTGGGCTTGACCCCACTTCACTATACACTCCAGGACTGTGTTCCAAGAAGTCCACGAACATTCTCCATTAGCTGGTAGCTGAAAGAAAACCGAACTTCTAATGAGGGACCTGAGTTTCAGTCACCAATTCACAACTGACCGAGCAAATTACTTAGTCTCTCTAGTTCCCAGTTTCTTTACCGTGAAAGAGGCGTGTTGGATAGCTTTGTCTTTGATTCCCTTTCAATTCAGACAGTCTGTGATTTTCAGAGCTAAACAGGGTTAGATAAAAGAGCAGGCCAACTCACTTCCAAAAAATTCTGATCCCTGGACCAGGTCCCTAGGAGGAAGACATTATTCATAACGCATCCTCGCCACACTCTTCAAGTGGGGAGGGGAAGACAAGACCTGCATCTGGTCTGAATGCAACGGGAACTGAAGCCTGCCCTATCAC